TATAGTGATATAAAGAGTAGATTGATGGTTGCCGGGGGCTGGAGAAGGGGGATTGACTGCAAGAGGGACCTGGGGGATTTAGGAGGTGACAGAAAGTTCTATATTTTGAAAACAGAGGTGGTTACATAAGTATATACAATTGTCAAATCTCATCAAACTACACTAAAAATGGGAGCATTTTATTATGTATAAATTATATCTCAATAAAGGCGGCTTATAAAAAATGAAGCAGAACATTTTAAAAAGGCAAAAAAGTAGGGGCCGGCCCGGTGGCGCACTGCTATAGTGCACCGCTTGGGAAGCGCGGCAGCGCTCCCGCCAAGGGTTCGGATCCCACATACAGACCGGCCGCTCACTGGCTGAGCGAGGTGCAGGAGCAACACCGAGGGTTGCGATCCTGTTGCCGGTCCCGGTCCGGTACGGGCGCGACACTGAGGGTTGCGATCCGTTGCCGGACACGAAAAAAGACAAAAAGGAAAAAAAAAAAGGCAAAAAGTAAAAACAGCATAATTGCAGTTTTATTTCTAAATATGTTTAGAAAGGAGTCTGAAAAGATATATGCGTATATATATCAGTAATAAACTGAGTGGTGAGCATTAAGGAGGCTATTATTTCTTCTTCATATTTTTCTGTATATTTTATATTTTTAGGGATTTTTGCTATGCTTATAATCAGAAACAAACTTTTTTTTATCTGTTTATCCAGTGAAACATTGCTTTGTCGGAATAAAAAATAAATGTTGTACTTTCAGGGCAAGGGCAGAATTAGTTTTATTCCTCATATGGCTTAAGATCATTTTCAGCAAGAGATTGAATCAACTATCTCCTGAATTAACCTCCCGGCTGGACTCCCATGCTTGGGCCAGGCCCCACCTGGCAGCTGCACACTCATCCTCTCCGCCCAGGGATTCAAGCAGAAGAAATTCAGCTGGTTCCAGGACAAGAAAACCTAACACAGAAAAGTGAGACTGAGCCACAGCGTGAGGAACCTGGACTGCCCAAAACATCCTTAGAGATGTGTGTTCACAAAGCTTTGCCACAGGAATCCTTTCTGATCAGACTCAAGCTCATTTTATCAAAGCCTCTTCCCCTGACTTTGCCAGAAAGTTCTGACCAAGCCTGAAGCCCTCCTGCAGAACCAGCCTAGTATCACTGTAGTATAGAAGGAAGCCATGGCCCTCGATCAGGATTGCATTTGACCAGCAATTTACCTGAGAGTTTGTAAAAATGTAGGTCCCAGGGCACCCTAAAAATCTCTAGTGATGAAGCCCAAGGATCTATATTTTTAAAAGCCTTCCCAAGTGAATCTCATGCAATGCATGGAAGTTTCAGTCTACATCTAAGATTCTCAAACTGCAGTGCATAAGAATTACTTGAGGTTCTTGTTAAAAGCACAGATTTCCAGGCCATATCCCCATGGATTCTGATTCTGTATGTCTCAGGGAGGGACCCAGAATCTCCCGTTTTAACTAGTCCCCAGGTGATTCCAGTGCAAGGTGATCCTCAAACTGGATTTCAAAAGCCTTAGTGTGGATTGTGCCAGAGTAAATTTTCTTAAATCATTCCCCAAGAGGGGTGAAGGAAGAGGCAAGAGAACTAAATTAGGTTATGCCAGCATGCTCGAATTTATTAAGAAGTTAACAAAGATTTTTATTTATTTATTTTTTTTTTTTTTGCATGTCAAAAACAGCAGAAAGCCAGTGAGAAGGATCAGTCCCAAAGACACCTTGACTAAAAGGATGCCTTATAGTGACAAAACTTTAACGTCATGCAAACAAAGCCATGGTGATGCACCCTTTGAGCTCAGGGATCACTTTGTTGGGACCCAGTTTTAATTTCTCACCAGGATATGGCTCTTGTTCTCAATGCCTTGAAACACCTGGGCGGGCCTGGAGAACAAGCCTTCCTCTACAAATTACATGAGAGGCAGGACACAGTCTTGGGGGTGTGGAAGGTCTGCAGCAAATGGTGGCTTTCACTGGAACTGCCTGCGGAAGTGATGTGGGGAAAGGTCTTCATTTCGTGTTGCACACAGGCGTGGGCTGGCAGCACACAGGGTCACAGCACCCTGAGCCACAGCACCCTGAGCCACAGCAACTCGATCCACAGCAACCGGATCCACAGCAGCCGCCCCCACAGCCTCCACCTCCACAGTCTCCACCTCCACAGCCACCAGATCCACAGCAAGAAGATCCACAGCAGCTGCCTCCACAGCTAGAGCCTCCGCAGCCACAGCACGACCCGCAGCAGGACCCGCAACAGCCGCAGCAGGAAGGCTGGCAGCAGCACACCTCACAGCAGTCTTGATCTTGAGGGCAGCAGGTGAAGCAGTCCCCTGGGCAGCACCCCATGGCCCCAGCTGGTCAGGTCGCAGGTCAGTAATGCGGCCAGAGTTCCCCTAGTATGACGGTCACCAGCTGGACAGCAGCTTTTATATCCCTTCACCCAAGGGTGTTGGCACAAGGGACAGGATGTTTTCTTTGTTATTATTTATGCCAGTTTCCATAAGAACATCTCATTAACTAGCTGTTTATTTTCCAGCTCTGAGTACCTCAACTCATAAAAAAAGCCCCACTCGTCCCAACTGCTATTTGTCCAGAGGGTAAAAATACATCTTCGAAAAGACCTGTCATCATGGTCACACATCTGCCAGCCGTCATTAGCCCAAGTTGGACAGAGGATGGGGAAGCCAGCCACAGGCTGTGGCTCTGGATAGGCATCTTCTCTGGTGGCAAGTTGGCAGTGCAGCTCTTTTTTTGTGGTTGCTAATCCTGGAAAACCAGAATGGTCAATGCTGGATGGATGCCCTGTTCCTTCTGCCACAGGCAGAGGCTGCTAAAGAAGGTCTGGTCAGGTGGCTCCTCCCAGGTGGAAACGGCACCCTCATCCCAGCCCGTGTGAGCAAAGCAAATGATGGTGTCTGTGTGTGGTATGTGGAGTGTGCCGCACGTTTGTTTGGGCTTGGTTGGTGAGCATCAGTCATGAGTAATAACTGCCCTGTGAAATGGAGAGAGACTCGCCATAAAACTGCAGAGGCTGCGAGCCACATTCTCCCTCAGCTGCACGGTGAACTGAGCACACACTTCTGTCTAGAAGAGTGGGAAGAGCTGTGGCCAGAACCTACTACCCCCAGCCCTAGGCCTTTCCTTGATGCAAGGAGGAGGAGAGGCAGGAGGAGGAGGAGGAGGGATGGAAGGAAGGAGCAGATCACTGAATATCTGAAACATTTCATTAAGATGGAAACACTGTATGATTTTTTTAAGAGCTCCAAACTTATAGACCATCTGGCAGAATTTGGAATTAGTGTACAAGATATTCAAGAATGTCATCCCAGGGGGAAAACAATCCTTGAAAAGAGACTAGAATCCACAGAGGATCCAGGTTCATGTATAAATTCTGAGATGGGTCAAAATTCCTGCCTTTATTTGAGGCTTTGGTACCTTGTCATCCTCTTGGAATGATAATGGCAGGCCCTGGAGCCTACAGGCTCCGCCCTCTGGCATACAGTACCCAGTGGGGGAGGGGATGGAAGGTGGGGGTGGGAGTGGGGGCTGGAGATGGGGACCTGGATCCGGATCAAGAAACATAGCCCCCCCTTTTCATTGTCCTTTTCTTTTCAGATGGGCCTGGGAGGACGGCAGCCTCAAAGAAGAGCTAGAAGAGCTGAGGGTGGGGTGGGGGCGGGGGGTAGGAGTGAATGTCAGATGGATTACTTGGATCTGATATGACACTCAGTACGTCACAGGATGTGGAATTTTAGAGCCGGAAGGAACCCTTGAAAGATCCTGTGGTCCAGGGCTTCTAAACCTTTTCTATATCGGAATTGCATAGGGTGGGAGCTTTTGAAATATACATATCCCCAAATGGCATCCCAGTCCTTATGTTAAATCAGAACATATGCTTATGGGAGTTTGAGAAACTACATCTTTTAAAGTTTCCCAGGTGACTTGGATTATCAAATAAATTAGAAAATACTGACCTAATTTAATACCACCTTGACTGTCACCCCCAAGCACTTGTATTCTATGGAAGATGATACCATAGGCCCAGAGGAGACACATTAGTGATAGATTGGACCCACAACCCAGATGTTCTATTTCCTAATCCAGTGTTTCTTCCACCACACCATGGGCACAGATGGGCACAGATGAGTGAGTATAATACAGCAATGTCCACAACAGACACATCCTTTTGTTTATTTTTTGAATAACAGGCAACACATTCAGAGGCTAAGGGTACGAAAGCGTATGCAGTGAAAAGTCTCCCTCATCTTCCTGTGTCCTACCATTCAGTTCTCCTGCCTCTCGTCCACCCCTCTCTGCTCCCACAATAACTTACTTAACCCCTCTGTGCCCAAATTTTCTTAATTATAAAATGGAAACTATGATAATATTCTATACGGCTGTTGTGAAGATTAAATGAATGAATATATATACATTTAGAACAATGATTGGCCACATATAGTTTGATTAATATCAGCTATTATATTACATATATATAAGAAAATAGATAAATGTATATAGAGATATGTTTTTGTTCATTACACAAATGGTAGCACAATATACACATTGTTTTGGTTTAGTTTTTTTTTTTTCCAGAAAAGAATTTTTTTTTTAATTCAAGTAACTGCAAATAGCAAACCAGATGGAGAGCCCCAGGCTAGGACAAATAGTGGCTGCCCCCTCTGCAGCAGAACAGGAGAAAAAGTGGCCCTACTCTCAACAGTCAATGCAGGACACACACACACACACACACACACACACACACACACACTGTTACAGCATCCTGGGGGCAGGGTCCCATTTTCCCTGGAACTGGGGTACTGGGTAACCCAGCCTGCTGCACCCGAGCCCCTCCACCCCCCAAACACTATCTTGAGAGAGGAGAATGTGGACAGAACAGAGCAAGTTGATAGGATGAACGTTTATTTGGTGCTGATAGCAACAGTAATGACAAACGTCAAAGAATGAAACATTGAACAAAAGGAAACACAACTGTCTGGAGGTCGTCTGTGAACAGAGGAAAGATGGGGCCAGAACCTTGGGAGATCAGGAGGGGCGGGAGGGGTGGGAGCACGCAAGGCTAGCTCCAGGTTATTAGTGCCCCATCTGAGGAGAGGGAAACTGGCCAAGAGTGGAAGCAGGTTGGGTTGGGTGAGTGGCCTCCGCCCACCTTAGATGGCTGCCACAGGGAACCTGAGCCTCACCTGGGCAGTAGGTGATTCTGCATCCCCATCACTGCAATAGACACTCAGATCCCAGGGAGGGCAAGGTGGGATGGGCCCCTGTGAAGAGGGGGTAGGAGGCTCAAATACCTCCTGCCTGCACCCCAAAGGGGGCTGTCCAACCTAGTCCAAGGACTAGGAAAGGTGGGGAAGGAAGAAAAGTAGCGTGAGCCCCATCTGGTGACAGAGACACAGGTTGGTTGGGGCATCCCTCTCCATTGGCCCCATCTGCTGCTGCCAGTAGAGCAGAGTGAGCGTGTCAAAACGAGATGAGGCTTGGGTCCCTTTTAGGCCAGAGGAACCATGCCAGGGTCCTTTATGGGAACCCAGAGAAAAGAGCGAAGGAGCAGAGAAGGGAACCCCAAACCAGCAGCAGACAAGGACACAGCAGGCGCGGGGCACAGCTAATTAGGACGTTAGCCTTGTCCAGATGTGTCTGCGGGTGGAAAGGGTCGCTGGGACGGAGACCAAAGGAAAACTCCCCGCCTGGACCCTGGGGTGGGGGAGGGTGACCTGCAGCTGCTGGTGTGCTGTCTAGTGCGTGGAGGTGAGGGCACAGGTGGGGGTGGCAGGCCAGGAGGCCATGGTGACGCTTGGGCCTGGGGTACGAGGCGGGGCGGCGGGTGCGGAGCGGAGCTGTCCAGTCCCAGAAGGAGCCTGCTCCTCGGGCGAGGCGGCGGGCGGCAGGCACGACCCCCCCCAGCCCCGTGCTCTCTTGCTGCTTTTCCAGCTTTTAGGGGCTGCCCCTTAGTTTCCTCCCTGGAGTCGTAACGCTCTTCCAGGTCTTGGCAGCGCCCTTGTGTTTACTCCCCTTTGGTTGGCCCCGAGGCTCTTACGTTATTGGCACTTCGAGGGGCTTCTTGTGACCCCTACCAGGCTGGCCCGGGACTCAGCGGAGGCTGCACGCGCGGCTTGCTCCGCCCTCGCTGCCCGGTGCCCGCCCTTCCTGCGTGGAGGCCGAGGACTGGCTGGGTCGTCCCTTCTTCACCGACGACGCGGAGGAGCCGCGGCAGCAAACGCGATGCCCCGTTGGAGCCGCACCGGCACCAGACCAGCCTGACTTCGAGTCCCGTCAGACGCTGTTCTTAACTCTGCTGTGGTTTGTTTTTTTGTTGTTTTTTTGTTTTTTCCCCTCTTAAGTTATCTCAGAGATCGTTCTATATCAGTGCATTAAGAGGTTCTTAATAGTATTCCATTATACCAGTAATATATTTAACCAATTCCCTGTTGAAAGACCTTAAGTTACTTTTAATGTTTCTAGTATTGTGCTGTTTTGACCATGGTGCAGAGAATAACTGTACACGTACATCATTCTACGCGTATCTTTATAGAGCCGTGCCATAAACTCTTATAAGAGAAATTGCTAGATCAAGGAGTTTTTGCATTTGTAATTTTGACGGATGTTGCCAAGTCACCCTTCATAAAGTTTGGGCCAGTTTACAGTCCCACCAGCAATGCATGCGTGTGTCCGTCTC